CATCAAAACATAGGTTAAATAAACCATGGGTCAACATTATGTGCAAACCAGGTTATTGTCTTAATAGTGAACTCTTGTCTTTAGTCAAGACTTTGCAAAAGGTGGCAGTGAAAAGAAACATTTTGTTGGACTCTCCCATAATATTATAATGCGTGTACATTATTACAGGAAACCTTGGAAATTGTTGGCTGGTGATAGGCAAGCAGTAACTGTTATGACTTACAGAAAGATATGTGGAATGAAAACAAGAAAACTATATAAAAATAAGAACAAGATTTATCTGAATGAAGTTCTGCAATGAAACAAGTGACAGACTGCAATTCTATGCAGGAGTCTAGTAGGTCTTTCTTCTGGGGAAACATGCAGAAGATTGTGCTGTTTTTGTTGGCAATAAAATATACTGTCCTGAGTGTTTTCAGTAAAAATTTAGGTATCCAAGGTACAGGTCCTAGTATATCTAGGATTGCCTAACCTAGCCCATGGATTTGGAGTAAATGATCATTTAAACCCTTCCAATAGATTTTGTCCACTAGAGGTTTTAGATCACATAATTTATCTCCAAATTGCCAATCAGTACTTCAGAGAATTTTACAGTTATCGCTTATGTTTCCTTATATTGCATATGATGCTGCCATCTTTTCTTGAAAGTCAGCTGTAGAAACAGTTGGCTAATTACTTTAAAATGATGTGATAGATGGAGCAGTATAAAGATACAGGCTTTTGCAGCTATTTACACTTGGCCCCAGACTCATAGTGACAGTTTAGAATAGTATTGAAGAAAGATTGATCATCTTCTGACTTCCACAGATAGGGTGTTCTTGCATAAAAGATAATATTTTGCTTCAATCAACTCGGTAAAAGGGAACATTTTCAATATGCTAAAGCAAGCAGATGTCTTACGTTCTTGTGGTTTAAAAGGATGAAATATTTGGTTTGCTTTTAGAAATTCATGGGGTTAATTTGGTCTGTTTGCTGTTTATATCATGGTCATTGTCCTGTATTCCAACTACTACTAATAATGCCTAAGCTTTCTGACCAGGCCAGCCATCTCAAATTAGCAGTGAATTAAAGTTCCAGTAGTTGCTGTCCTCCCTTCTATGGCAGCTTAACTGCTTTGTATATGGTAATCACCACAGTATAACAAAAGGAGAGGTAATAGTTTGTTGGCAAAAGTTGAGGGTTTGGTTGTTTGCTACATAGAATTATGCTTTGTAGGCTTCATTTTTAACTTCTGTGCCCTACAGCTAATGCATGTGGAAGTTAGTCACAAGAAATGAACATGTAACGTTTGTGTGTTGATTCTTTTGTAATAAATAAAACATGATCTGTGTTTTCGAGGCTGCAGATACCTATACTACTTTCTTAAGGGTTTGTATACTTAGGTTGTACCATTTTCCTGGGAGTTAGTCACAGTGAATTCAGTAGAGCTTGCTTCAAAGGATTGCACTATAGATAATGTACAGTTCTTGAGAAGAGAAGCTACAAAAATTGTCCATACTTCTTATTCCTGAATTGGATATTTTGTATGTTCAAAAAGTCTGTTTATCTTTTAATTACTTATTTGGATTCCTAAATCTCTGTTAAGGGAAGCTTTGCCTGCTTCCTCTCTGCTGTCCTTCCACTGGCAGGCAAAGGCCTTTGGTATGCAAGTGCGTCCATAGTGTTTGGTGCTGTTTTTATTACATTTTATTACATTTATTACATGCAATATTGTTTATTTTTATATGCCAGTTTCTTAGTATATAGTTAGGGTACAAATCAAATATATATATAAAATTCCATTCAAGTGAGAGTCAAACTACATGTGTCTTTGTTCTTAAAGTGTGTTTTTAAAATGCAAATAGCATTTGCTGAGGGACTGATAACTACCATATTTTTCGCTCTATAAGACGCACCTGACCATAAGACGCACCTAGTTTTTAGAGGAGGAAAACAAGAAAAAAATATTCTGAATCAAATGGTTTACTAAACTGTTTAATAAACTATAACAGAATACAGTAATACCGTATTTCAACCTTGTAAAGTGAACAGCAGTCAACAGTGGCATTAAGAACCATCATCACTGTCATTAACAAAAGAGAGACTTTAAAGTTCGAGTACTCTTCTAGTTTTCGTTGAACCCATAGAACTCATCATCACTAGAGTCAGAATTTATGAAGCTCTGTTGTTCACAATCATGACATCACTTTCTTAGTCAGTAGTGGAATTATTGAAGGAATCCACAATCTACACCAGTTATACAAGAGCTGCTGCAGACAATTCAATAACAAATCTAAAAAAGCCAGTAATGTCCACGCTGCCCTACTAGTAAATAATAGAAAAAAACTTCTGACAAAAAATGAGATACTGTACAGTAAATCAAACACACAGCGGACTAAGTAGCCTTTGAAGAATAAACTTCATACACAAAGGTAATGCTGTTCAAATATCCACTGATCCTAAAAAAAATGCGTCTGATTAACTAACAGATAACTGATCCATGGAAAGCTTCCTGATAATCACAGGCACATTCCCCATCACTTCCCCATGGGCTTCATTAAAAGATGGGTTGCCATTTGAAAACACACACCGACCTGTGATTAACAGCTCTCACCTGCGCCAGAAGAGGGGGGCGGAGCAGGGTGCGCCGAGCTTGTGCCAGCCAGGTGGTGCCCCGTGGGGCTGGCAGCATGCCAGCGGTGGTCTTCCGGGCGGCGCAGCGGCGGCGGCAGGTCTTCCCAGGCGGTGGGGGTGAGCAATCCGTCTCTTCGTGCGGCCGGCGGGTTAAAGCCCACGGCTCCTCCTCCTCCGCACCTCTCCCCCTGAGCGGCACAGCTCTCACCTGTGCCGGAGGGGGGGCGGAGCAGGGCGCACTGAGCGTGTGCCAGCCAGGTGATGCCACATGGGGCCGGCAGCATGCCGGCAGTGGTCTTCCGGGCGGCGCGGCAGCAGGGGCAGGTCTTCCCGGGTGGTGGGGGTGAGCAGTTCCCGGGCAGTGGGGGTGAGCAGTCCGTCTCTCCATGCGGCCGGCAGGTTAAAGCCCGCGGCTCCCCCTCCTCCACACCCCTCCCCCTGAACGGCACAGCTCTCACCTGTGCCGGGGGGGCAGAGCGGGGCGTGCCGAGCGCATGCCAGCCAGGTGGTGCCACGTAGTGCAGGCGGGTCGGCAGCGTCCCGGGTGTCGGGCACACACACATTCACTCTATAAGACGCACAGACATTTCCCCTTACTTTTGAGGGGGGGGGAAGTGCGTCTTATAGAGCGAAAAATACGGTAGTCATACTTCACCAAATATCAAGGAGCAATTTACTACTTTGCTGCAGTCCTGAATAAAATCTCTCTTCTGAAATTGGCATTGGTGGAAGATTTTCTCCCAACCCAAATAACTTAACCTTCTAAGCAAGGATTTTTCTTAAGGCAGCAAGGGAGGGAGGAACTGAATTCCCCTTCTACATCTGCTGTGATCTTGATAATTATCAGCTGCCCCTAACAGATGTTATTTACATTTAAAGAAACATATATGTTTATGCAGAGATACTTTTAACATAATGCCTAGTTTGGTCCAAAGTAAAAGGAAAATAAATGCTGAAAGATTAAAGCCATGTAAAGGCTCTTCCTGAATTGATTTATATAACATACAGTTGTTCTGACACAGTGAAATATATCTCCAGTAAACCCCTGATTTCAGTGGCTTATCTTCTGTGCCAATGTTCTTAGAAGAAATTGAATACAGGGGCTACTGCACTGGTACAACATCACAACATTATGCCCACCCAGCAGTGTGATCTGGAATAATTGTGCTAGCAACAACTCCCATTGCCAGATGGATATAGCAATGACATGAAAAGTTTTGATGCAGCAAATGTGTGTGGGGAACATTGGAGATGACTATGACATCATCTTAATGACATTTTGACCCCATGGAGCCAGATTTGTCAATCCAACTCGCAGGACTGACGTGGCAGGGTAGAGTGTGAATGCAGCCAGCAATCAGCTATTTGTTTTGTTTTTTTTTTTTTAAGTTCTTTGCTGTGATCAGGAGCTTCAGGGAAACCTGAAGATTTGGGAATGAATTTAGTTGGAATACACCTTTGCCACCTTCCTGATCTGGATCCAAACCTGAACAGTGCAGCTGTTACTTGAAGAAATAAGAAGATTCCTAATCCCAGGATTCAAAGATGCATTTAGTATCATTTGTAGTTTGACCTGACAGAGGTAATGATGTAGTTAAGTTGATACAAGCAATCCTGTCTGCATCATTGCTCACAGCTATGCAGCTATTCAGGTCAAGATGTAAATCTGTGATGCCATTTGTGATACCATTTAAGTCGCATTTTCCTTTGATTAAACAGGCACTTGAATTTCTTCCCATGCCAATTTACTCACTAGGTTTGTATTTTTTACCAGGTGGAAATTATGAATTAAGCTCTTATTTGGAGAGCAAAGTACACACCACAGGTTTTATATACATATTGATTTTATCTCTGTGTTACACTTTGATGCCAAGATAACATTAAATCCACTGATTCAATGGACAGTTGGTTTATTGGTTTGTTTTCTTGGTTCCCCCCCCCCCCCCCCAGCAGAGTGGATAGAATATATCTTTGGTCCTCTTGTTGGTTGTTCTCCATTTGTTCCTGGCTGGAGGCCAGTTTGGGCTAAACAGGATGAGGCCCAATGTTCAGCAGGCATGGATTTTTTAAACTCCATCAGAAAAAATATCTGTCAGGAAATTTGCAGCTATAAATTGGATCATGTCAGTGAGGTTAGGAATAGGCTCAGCAGAAAATTGAACATTTCAACATGCCTGTTGTTATATATGTTTGTGCATGCTTCTCCTTGGGTTACCAGAAAGAAAAAGAAAAGTCTAAATCTGTTGCATTATCGTTCTAAGATACATATCACATTTTAGTCACTTATAGTACAATTCTGTGAAAACTTTCATCTGAGTAAACATGCAGGAGATTAAGTTTTGTTGCATATTTTGCTTCATACATTTTCTTTTTCATGTATGTTGCAGGCACCCAGATGCCATCCCAGACTCCCAGTAGCCAGTCGGAATCCAGCTCCCATCCTGCCCTGAGCCAATCCCCGATGCCACAAGATCGAGGTTTGTGTTGGAGGGGAAATAGCCACAGATTAAAAAAGACTGAGAAGGAAGGGGCAAAATTTGTTCATCCTTACAGCAAGGAGATTCCACTTGTAATAATTTCTCAGCAAAAATCTGTATGGAACTATTTCCTGAGGGAGGAGTATTTTAAAAAGGAGTATCTACAAGAATGCTGAACGTTCTAAAAACATTCTTTATCAGATCTTGCTAGATTCTTTATGGTCTTTAAAATCTGGGTACAGGAAACATGATTTATAAATAGCTGGCTTAGAATTTGGTCTCTGTAGAATAGAAATGTTAGCTGCTTTGCAAACAACAATTTTCCCACAGTTTTCAAAACATTGATAAATTCCTGTACTTCGTATATGCACCATAATGCCTCTTTTTGTATAGAAATAAGAGTTGATCTAACAGGCTGCAAATGACCCGTCCGGTCCCTTCCCTTGTCAAAGTCTTGTTATGCTGAGGTTCAAATGTGCTTTCGATAAACTTGTTTGAATAGCATTTTTAATCTCACATTGAAGACTGAGGTTTTATGTCTTGGTTTATAAATGTTCATTGCTAATCTGTGTATCAACATTGTCAGCTATTAATCTGTGAGAGAGGCCTTGTGAACTCTTTCCTGTATATGACAGAGCAAGCCGCTAGCATGGGCTTGTCTTCTGTGGAACTTGAGGATATAAAATAGACAATTGAATAAAATGCTACTTCAAGTTAGATCTGCATCATCCTCATGATTGCCAGGAAGCAGTGTAAAGTTAGAAAATGAGAGGAAAATTTTAATCCACCCTAACAGAACAAGTGCTACTGAGTATCAGGCTTCAGTGTGTCTGTTAATCAAAATACTTGCAAAGTGTGTTAGTCATCATCACAAAACAGTACACTGTTTCCTTCCTTGTGGTGTATTCTGCTTGTATTTTCTACACTATGTTCTAAAAGACATTGACTGGCAGTTTGACCATAGATGGCACTAGATGTCATATGCCCCCCACAAAAATATATTTCAGGAAGTCATTCATGCACATTCTCAAGTGTGATAGTTTGTTTCACATAGGTGTTAGCTACAAGGCTTCTGATTCCAGACATGTTTTATGCTGTGTCTTGAAGACATATTAAGGCTTCTCTTTATCTGGAAACATAGTGGCTTGGAATTTCTTATGGTACCCATTGCATTTTGATGGTTCATAATATGTGTTCAATCTGTCCTTTTCTTGGAATCTATCCTTATTGATACATACTCTATGTCAAAGGACTGGGTCAAAGTCATTTCTGAAGAGTGGGTCCAGTTTTAATATTATGTTAGGAGCTGACACATTTGATTCCATCCATCAACTAGAGTTGCAGGTGTTCCTGATGACATCCTACAAAAGCCAAGTATCAGTGCAGGAAATCCAAAATCCACTGCCTGTTAACTGTGACTTTGGGTTCTGCTGGGGTATCAGCTACCTGAATCATAGCAGAGCTGCAAGGCTTAGTGCAAAGGTGGTGGTACTTTACTTAGAGGAGTAGAATCCACACTGCTCATCAGCTCCAAATTCCTAAATTAAATTTCAGCTGTGCATCTCTCCATGCTTGGGAATGCTGAGGTCATTGATTTAAGCCAGACATCAATGTCTTCATTGCCTGATGAAGAAACTAATGAAGTGCAGTAGAGAGAAGCATCCAACTCTGAATCACTAGGCCAAATAAAAATGGTTTATTTTTAATGAATAATTTATTGTAACCTGTAGTTTGAGAATTTAGATTCTAATCTTCAAATTGCTCTGCTGGCAAAGGCCTGGCTGCCATGTTATTTTTAAAAAATCTTCTGCTGTTTGTCTTCAACAGTCTTGACTTTTTATTCGGAATATTTGTTGAAACCCTTGTTCTGCTATAGCTAATCTTTGTGACCTAGCTTGTTTAAAAATATGCATTTGTTTCATGCAGTAGGTACAAAATCTGTAACCAGTGGGGTCATATTGATTTTGCAGAACTTGTTTCCCCAAAGCTTCTGTAAGGTCTGAGCAGTGCGCATATAAACATGTGTGCATTCCCTTTTGTGCCCTGTCATTGATTAGAGACTTCTTTGAAATGGAAAACTTCACCTTTTTAAAAGGCTGTTGCATTAGTTGATTCTTTTGCTTGCCTTAACTGTTTTCCACTGAACTTAGAAGGGAAAGCAAGAGCACAAGGGCTCAAAGGGAAGGTGCTTGTCATTTGCTGATAAAAACCGAAGCAGAAAATCATTCCTGTTGAAGACACCTGATCTTCAGGCATCTGTTACAGTAATTTAAACACTTGACTTGCCGATCTAAACATTTCCAGCTAAAAACACCAAGTGACCCTCTGATTTCAGGCAGTGTTTTTGTTCCTTCTGGTGTTCTGTGTAACATTTCACTTCTTGTTCAGAGAAATGAATGAATATATGAACAAAAAACCACTGATGTATTTAGTGAAAAGATCTCTACTTTCATAGCAATATACTGTTAGTTAGAGTCTCTATAGAATTTGCTTGGCTGTGTAAAATCTAAATTTCACTATTTGAATGCAAACCAGATGAGTAACCTGTTCAGTTTACTTTTATTTAATTCTGAAAATGTTTGTTTTTATTTATCTTCTCTTCAGCAGTTGCTTAGCAGTCTTACATGATTATTCATGTTTTCAAACCTAAGGGTATATCCTTTATAATAGAACTTCAAGCCATATTGTGTAGTTTGCACATGTATAATAGAAATGCATGTATATGTGTCATACAGATTTGGACACAATGCTCCCTTTATATTCTTCTTGGTTTGCAATCAGATATAAAGAAGACACTAGTACAGTTTTTACAGAAATTTGTGTTCTGGGAGCCAAGATATAGGTGGGATGGTGATCTTTCCAGTCCTTCTCCATGTTGATATTGTCATGTCATGAGCAGAGTCAGCTGGAGCCAGGGATCAGACTAGATGGCCCAGGAGACCCCTTCTGACTCTCTCTGTTTCTATATTATGTGTAGGCCACATCTTCTGGTGTTTTCAGTGCTGCAGAGTTTTCACTCTAAAGCTGTTCCTCAACTCTGCCCTGATCATTATACTTGCCATACACAGGAACTTAACTGTGTGTTTATCTGCCTAATACATCCCCATTTTAAGGTTGTATATGCCTGATCCATATCTTCCATTTAATTCAAAATGATTTATTATTTGGTAGTCTTGTCAAACAAGGAAGACAAGACATACAGTACAAGGAATAGGTAATCCTCAGAACCCCAGTGTTTTTCTTATTCAAGGTAATCTCTAACATTTGTTTAATTATCCTATTACTATGCTGTCCTTTCCCAAAAATTATATACAGTGAATGGGTGAGTTTAGATAAGAATAAGCGTGTGGGTCTTAAAAGCAGTCATATCAAGGTAACAAACTGATTTATTACTTTATTTTGCTACTTATAGCATGCTTTTTATACTCGGCAAGCTATACAGTTTTAAAGATGCAACAACAAAATGCATTGAAATACAAAAAACAGCAACCATAAAACACACTAGCAAACAGCAGCAACAAAACACATCACCAAAAAGACTCTTAACCTAAGTATTTCAAAAAAATGAAGTATTAAAACTCTATTAAGACTAGTGCCTGTTGAGGGCATTCATTTTTTTCTAATTTCTCATTGAAAATGTATGTAAAGGTATGAACTTCTTTTTAACCTACATGTTTATAATGTACTCCACAAAGGTTCTCATCAGCAATAAGGCAAGTAGTTTAGTAGACTTATCCTAAAGCCCCTCTTCCCCTGTAAGCTTCTACATCTTCCATTTTGATTTGTCATTGTCACTCTTAGTTATAATCATTACTACAATGTCTTAACTGAATGGCTAACCCAATGGGATATTTTAGATTTTGTATCCCATTAGTGCTTTATTATAGCTTGGACCAGTGATACTTCTCCCTAATGCCTCCTCCTCTCCTTGCTCCACTTGGATTGCCTGCCTGCCTTGCACATCCCCAAGGGCATAATATTAAAGTAAGACCTATATACACAGTCCAGCATATGTAGGCCAGAACATATAATTATCCAGGTTTCATCTAGGACATAGATGCCCATAGACATCAGAGATAGGGTAGCCAAGCTGGTTGCATGGGGAGAGCAGGAACTCTCTGATTCTTCTTCACACTTATGACTGGATCAGAGAGAGGTATTGCATTTAATCTAGCCCAAGGTGTGGAAATGAATAAACAGCCTTTTTAGGCTATATATTAGTTTACTGTAGTGATCTATACTGCCTTAATTCAGTTTTACCAGAGCTAAATATACAGCATAGTATATTTAGAAGAACTATTTCATTTGAACAATTGTTTTATTCACAGATAAGACTTTACAAAGCAGTCCTAAACCAGGGGGAGTGGCAGAAGGGACAACCATACTTGAAACATTATTTCCAGCTGCAGAAAATGCAGACAACAAGGCAAAACAATAAAAGTGTAAGGGCACAGTCCTCTGGGAAATTCAGCCCCTTTGGAATGAATGAACTGCAGAAGCCTAGATGTATCCAAAGAAAACACCACAAATTGGAGTTTAAACTGTAAAGTCTGTTCTGGAAGCTAGCTCACTGTCATAACGTAATGGCGTAAAATGTTTCAATGTTTTTACCAGTTAACAAAGGTGATCTCTCAATAAAATGATATATAAAACTGACATCTTTATTAGAGGACTAATAAAAAGCATTAAAATGCTTTTTTACAATATGCTGTGAGAATTATCTTAAAACTCTTTTGTTTGTAATCCTCAGTATTTTTCTTGGTTTGATATAAGTGTGCCCTGGTTCATCATACTTGGATTAAAACAGTAGATAGGGAGCAGCTAAAAATACAGAATCTAATGGAAACATTAAATGGTATCATGCTGTTACACTGGCACATGCTATCATGAAGGGGGTGCTTTAAAAGCCTTTATTTATTAAGGCAAATGTATATGGGTCAGGATTAATTAAAAAAACTTTTAATTGTTCCCCCATTATAATTTTCACAGCAGTATGTAGT